CATACAGGTAAACAAAATATTTATTTTTAGTAAGTGTTTTTATTTTTACATTTTTAGGATTTGATTCATTACTAGCATTTCATCAACACAAACCCCAGTTTGGAAACCCTGGTCTAGTTCTTTCAGTTATGAAGAACATTAGATTTCAAATGTAAGACTATAGTGCCACCTAGTGGGACCATGATAGAAGTACCTGCAGGAGTTGATGTGCTGTAATTATTTTGCTATGCGGAAGTAATCTGTTTTCTGTAAATGTGCAAGACTTACTGTTTATTAGCTGCTAAAGGTAAAAATGCAGTAAATGGTAAAACTAGTTTAATGTTTAAGTTAAAATAATGATAACATATATCTGTTTGCAATGTCAAGCAGCATAAAAGACTGTTTTGGTACAGCTAAAATAACTGGAAGCCTTGCACACTTACAAATGGCTGCACCTGCTCTTACATTAAAAATGAGGGTATGAATCAGTTTAAGTTAATGTTATGGGTTCTGTGTGTGTGGTTTACCTCCAGCTCCTCAATGGTGGTATTTTCTTCATGCACTTTGAGATCGTGTTGTGTGTCCAGTTCAGCGCCCTCTGCTCCACCGACAATCTCATTCAGATACTGCTGATCGATCTTATCCATGGCAGCCTTCAGATCATTCCTCAATCCCTACACACACAGACAAGGTAAGCCTTAAAAATTGTGTCAAATTCAGCACGAGTCCATCTTGACAGAACTTTTCTTGCAGGGAAATTCCATTCCCCCCCGGTAAATAAACATACACTATATGACATGAGTGTGAAGATGGCGAGAGGAGAGGTGGATCTTACCTTGTTTACTTCTGGTGCTAGAATTTCGATCTTCCGGAGTCTCTGGAAAGCATCATAATCGGATTCGCCAAACAGACGGATGGGCTCGCCACGTTCCCTCAGACGTCTGATCACCTGCACACAGCCACAAGATTTATTATTCATCCAAGAACTAAAACAACCTCATCAGGTGAGCTCTGATTGGCTGACCCACCTCCTGTCGAGAGAGCGTCATTGGCAGCTTCTCCTCAGTGAGCTCCAGTTCTAACACAGGATTGGACGATGTAGATGGAGGCGCCTCCTCCTCGGTCTTGTCCAGCTTGGACAAAAAAAAAAGTCATATATTTTAAGGACTGTTAAATTATTCTGATACCACTGCAAAGCATATAACTGTAAGATTAAGAAGGGCTGCTTGCAAAATAATAAGCTGATAAATAACAACCCTGGCAAGATTTTACAGAATAAAAGGCCTAAAACAAATAGTTCTCTATATACTCATGCAGCGATGCATTTTTAAAATGTGATTAAATCCTCATCTAATCTTATATAAATGTGCGCGCACATAATTCTCCCAGGATGCAATGTGTGAACAGTAAAGAACTGCATATATCATTTGATTGGCCATGCTATATCTTGACACCAGTTTTAATTTAACACACCATGCATGCAATATCAGAACCAAATAAGGAAGCTTAAACAACAAAAGAGAACTGCACAAATGAGAGAGCAGGCAAGGCATCTAGAATTCAAACGACTTGTGCTTTGCTCCTGGGTGGGCATCTCTGTCACATAAGGGCACAGATTTTACGGTGATCGTTATGCGGCTGGGCTGAAAATTCAGATAGTGCTGCTTCCAGCTTTGTGCAACACTGGGAGCAAAGGCAAATGTTCTTCAGTCATGCTGAAACCCGGTCAAACATCTGTCTGGCAGCATGCATTCTGTCTGCCTGAGCCCTACCTGTCGCACAGGCTGCTCATTAGAAACCTACACTCACAGAACACACACACAGACAGCAGGAAAGAGAATATGAGAAGAGATACACAGCAGACAGAAGACACCACTCCAGGATGAGAGGAGAACTAGTGAGAAAGAGCTTTCTGAAAGGAACAGTTTACCCAAAAATGACAATTTGCTGCAAATTTATCCTCAGGCCATCCAAGATGTAGATGAGTTTGTTTCTTCATCAGAACAGATTCGGAGAAATTTAGCATTACAACACTTGCTCACCAGTGGATGTTCTGCAGTGAATGGGTGCCGTCAGAATGAGAGTCCAAACAGCTGATAAAAACATCACAGTAATCGACACCACTCCAGTCCATCAATTAATGTCTTGTAGGGATGGGCGTATCGATCCAAAGTATCGATATATCGATACTGACGTGAGTATCGAAAGTATCGATACTCAAACAAAAAATATCAATACTAAGGTGTGTTTTATTTACCAGTGATTTTGTTAATTTAACAATTTAAAAGTTTAGTTCAGAAGTATCGAATCGGTATCGATATCGATGATACTGATTTGAAAAATATCGGTATCGTATCGAAAACAAAATAATTGGTATCGCCCATCCCTAATGTCTTGTGAAAAGTTGCACGTTTTTGTAAGAAACAAATCCATCATTAAAATGTTTTAACTTTAAACGGTAAATTCTGGCTAAAATAAGAGTCCATAATCCATAATATTGCTTTCTCCAGTGAAAAAGTCAAATATGAGAGAAATATGCACAGATCAAGCACAGTTTAAAGGTTAGTTTGTTTAGAACTGTTTTAAAGTTAAAACAGTTCTAAACAAATATGTCACTGGATTTTGCAGTAAAAGGACAACAGTGGATGGACACTGGAAGAATTGGTATTATGGATTATGGACTCGTATTTTGGCCAGAAGTGGCTCGTATTTTTAAATATAGATGACTCATATTTTAGTTAGAAGCAATGGTCTGAAGTTAAAAAATGTCTTGATGGATTTGTTTCTTATAAACACACAGATTTTCACTTCACAAGACATTAATTGATGCATTGAAGTGGTGTGGATTATTGTGATGTTTTAATCAGCTCTTTTGACTCTCATTCCGACGGCACCCATTCACCGCAGAGGATCCATTGGTGAGCAAGTAACGTAATGCTAAATTTCTCCAAATCTGTTCTGAAGAAGAAACAACTCATCTACATCTTGGACAGCCTGACGGTGAGTAAATTGTGAGTGTGTGAGTATGGAATAGAAGACACTTTTCTAAATGGGACAGTTCATTTCTTTTAAAGCCACAGTAGATGACTGACAGACAAGCAGATGGTCCCTGTGTGTCATCTAAAACTGGGGCTCATTATATTTGAGGGTCCGTTTCAGCTAAAAGATTGATAACACTTGGTCTAGACATTTATTAAAGGGGTCATATGATGTTGCTAAAAAAACATTATTTTGTGTATTTGGTGTAATGCAATGTGTTTATGTGGTTTAAGTTTGCGGAGGAAGTAGAGACGCTGCTGTGCTTTCTTGGCCAGTGCTGTGGTGTTGTCAGCCCAGGAGAGATCATCTGTGATGTGCACACCCAGGAACTTGGTGCTGCTCACCCTCTCCACAGTCACACCATTGACGGACAGAGGAGCATGCTGAGTGCGCACTCTCCTGAAGTCAACAACAATCTCTTAACTTTTATAAAGAATATCTCTTTGGATTTGAGACTTTAGTCTTTGCAACTTTACAGATCTTCTTTATGCACCAAGAGCTTGTAACACTCCAAAGAGAAAGGAAAAAATTAAATCGCATCATATGACCCCTTTAAACGGATTACACTACAAATAACGTTACAGTGAGGTTAAATGTGTTTTCGAGCAGCTGTGTTCAACCTCGTGAGAAGGTAGTTGAATGTTTACGTGGATACATGAGTGTATCATGATGTAATGTTGTCTGTATTCACAGCTGGAGTTTATACCTTGGCTTGTATCCACATCTCCAGTAACAATCCTCCTCTTCCTTGCGCGCGAGATCAGCCCGTTTGAAGTATTTCTTTGAGTACTGGAGAAACAACAAACCCACATGTCAGCACACAACATCATAAGCATAAAAACAGCTGTAAGAAACACATCGATGTAAAGTGTAAACCGTACCCTATTCTAGAACAGTCGATAACTTACTCACATCTACGAGCTCTTTCTCCTCAGGGAGTTTTCTTTTCCTCGCGATCTCTGCTTTGAGGATGTCCATAACTAAAAAAAAAAACTCTTTATCAAAAACTATTTATCAGAATATGTGCCTCTTTTTTTACATAAACATCAAACGGGAAACAGTTTAGACGCTTCCGTTCACCGTTTCTAGATCTAGTTGTCTGGCTGCTGAGAGCAAGCTGAGTCATTACTGCCATCTAGTGGACAAATGTGAGACTGACGCCGGAAAAAGTTTGATGAGTGCACCAAATCGCAGACTTCATATATATCAATATAAATTAAGAGAAAATAAAAAGAGAAAGAATAGAGTTTGTATATGTATCTTTTTAGAAACCAGCTGGACGAAACTTCTTCATCTCGTATATTAAACATATGGTGTATTTTTATTGTACGAATATCAGTCGCATTGAAATATTAATTATTTAAATTAATTGATTAATTTATTTTAGGTGATATTTTGTGTTGATTTTTATTTATTTGGTCCATAATACTTGTTAACTGAACAGCGGTCATCACTACTTTTTTTTTTTTGATGATATTTCAGATTTATTTTACGTTTATACATTTTAAATGTAATTTCATTTATTTAGGCTATATATATATATATATATATATATATATATATTTCCGCTTTTACTTCGCGGCGCGCTCTCCGTTATTAAAACATAGATAGTCTATACATTTATGAATAAAAAAAAGAAATTACACTTTTCAACGTAGGCTATTACTCCTTTGTGAGAGTAGTCACCGACTGCCAAAACTGACAGGAAAGTGTCTTCTCCTCCTGACAACAGAACGCTATTGACTGAGTCATTTTCCTCCAGTCTGTCCAATGTAAATCTGGACCCTCGTATTTGCGCCCCACAAATATTAGCGACCATCAGGTGGCGCAAAGGAATAGACGTGACGAATTCTGAAAGAATTAAGAGGTTTATTTATTTACATCATAAACGAGCAGCCCCGCAGGAGAATGTAAACGCGTCCAGTCCATCTTCCTCCTCCTCCTCACCACCATCATCATCATCAGTCCAGAGAGAGCCGCGCTTATTATTAAAGCTCAGGTTCGCTTCACTCATCATCAGCTGGACTTAATGAGTTTGTCAGTGATTAAAGAGCCTGTGTGCTGCTGATGAACTGGGCTGGATTCTGCCTCTTCACCGCTCTGCCCTTAAAATGGAGTTTGTGGAGAGGAAGCGGAGCAGGAAATCGCAGAGCTTTAAACTGGTGAATGATGCAGGTAAGCAGACAGATGACAGCAGACAATAGAGCGTTACGTCAGCACTCTGGAATGCACCTGTGATACAGTGTATCGTTCCCTCTTTGTCTTGCCCGCATCGTCACAGTGTCGGACGCTTCGTTCTGTTCGAATCGTTTGGATCATTCGTTGTGTTTAATCACATGTTTGTCGGCGGCGCTCGTAGTAAAAACAATTTCATTGTTCTTCTGATGCGTTTAGTCTGTCCCTGTGCACTTCTTCAAGTGTGATGGAATACAATACATGTCTGTCTGCTGCGTGAACGTGATAAAGCTCTCCACAGTCACGCAGCCTACAGGTGGTCCTGCAGCATTACTTCATCACATCTGCACCGCTCAGGCGTCACGCACACAGCTGCTGTTATGAGTGACATTACAACATGTCAAGCAGCGTCCTGCTGTACTTCATCTAACATTTTTAACAGCTCATCCAAATTGAGAGCCTATAGTATATGCAATATTTGTGCTTTTAAAAATGAATAGGACTGTTAAAAATACTGAAAACTCCTCATGTTCTGTTGATATTTGACTGTTTTTATGTTTTATGTTCTAGACAATTCAATCATTTTTTTATTTTCCCTTATTTATTTTTGTTGACATATGCACTGTCAGAAATCTGACTGTCAATTCTAGTATATTACAATGTACACAGTCATGCAAAAGTTATAATAATATAATATAATATAATGCGTATATAATATAGCTGACAAAAACAGTTTGTCTTAACTGATATAAAACGGATAGATTTTATACCACTCATGTATGGTGTATAATTTATTTTGTCTTGGGTGATCTTTATCCTCAGCGCTGTATATATCTGTATGGGAGAAATAAATCATACAAATAAACACAACACAATAATAATAATAATAAAGAGAAAGTAAAATAAAAAACTATTTATTTTTAATAGGTACTGAGCATCGTCAACACAACGACAATTGATTATTGACAATTGATTTAATACAGGGAATCTAACTGTTCATGTCATTATTCATTGCATTTTTATTACATTCATTTCATGTATATTGATATATATCTTATATCTGAGGATCCCAGTTTTTTTCATGGACATTAATCTAATATGAAATTCATTTTGTGGTTTTGTTTTGCAGTTTTTAGAAACATTAGAAAGTCATGAACAATCAACTTTATACTATAAGCATACTTTTTAAACCACCGACATGACCTAGACATGATGATAGATAGATAGATAGATAGATAGATAGATAGATAGATAGATAGATAGATAGATAGATAGTTTTCTGTTTTCTCTACTCTCCTTTGAATAAAAGGCTAAAAAGTCAATTTTTGAATGAAATTGTATCATGACCTCATAATGATGTGAAAACTCTGCTGTGATTCATTTAGATTTTAGCCATGAAATGGATGATGTAGACCAGAATGACACTGAAGGAGATGCCCTGGATGCTTCTGAGACTGAAGGTAGCTGTCGTTCATCATAACACACTTCATGATTGTGTGCAGGCTCTGTGTGTTAACTGTGTCTCTCAGTCTGGTTAGGTGATGAAGGGATGGAGATAAAGAAGCAGATAACAGGCATGATGCACTTGCTGAGTGACAAGACAGGACGAGTGTACCAGCGGGTTGGACGAGAGGGTGAGACCCTCAAACAGGAGCCTCAGGACTGAGACTGAAGGTAGGTGTCATTCATCATAACACACTTCATGATTGTGTGCAGGCTCTGTGTGTTAACTGTGTCTCTCAGTCTGGTTAGGTGATGAAGGGATGGAGATAAAGAAGCAGATAACAGGCATGATGCGCTTGCTGAGTGACAAGACAGGACGAGTGTATCAGCGGGTTGGACGAGAGGGTGAGACCCTCAAACAGGAGCCTCAGGAGGAGGCTCTCAGCTTGCCTGTGGCTCAGAGCCCGGCCCCTGAACATCTCCAGTACGGCTGGAACTCAGTCCTGATGACTCACGGGCAGTACAGCACCCGCTCCAAAACCCAGAGGATGCTCAATCACTCAAAAGCTAATGGTGAGTCTCTAAACAATGAAGCAATTTTATTACTTTCAGAAGGTTTGTTAAATGTGCAAAATCTGTCAAGTTTGCACATTTAACAAAACAAAGCATGTTTTCACTGTGTTCCTCGCACTATGATTAGGCTATATTTATATGCAGTGGCCCCAAAACATATTTTGACATTGAAGTCATGCTAAAAATGTATGAATTTGAATGCAATGACAACAATGCATTGCATTAGATGACAAATTGTCAAAGTAAGTGGCATGTATTTTATAGAAATATAGCACACTTATCAAGCAAACATTTCAGAAACAAAGTTTGTTAGGTTTTAAATGATAACATTATATAGACGCTTTTATCTAAAGTAACTTCCATTGCATTCAAGTTAAAAAAAAGTTCAATCACTTCCTGGAAATTGAATCCATGACCTTGGCATTGCTATGGTTGTGCATTACAGAAATGCTCTTTTATTTATTTATTTATGCAAAATACAGTTTTATGTTCAGTAACAAATATTTATGGCCAGCACATTTTCTCAATTTACCCGTTTACTCAATTCACTTCATAAATTGAACACGTGTTTCATTATTATATCATAGCATCGTTTGGTTGCAGATGCCACTTGGTTGGACAATTTCAAAATCTAATGCAGTGAAATTGAAACATTGTAGGTATGACAAATTTGGATCACTGTATTTTTCTATTTGTTAACTTTTATTTTATTTTTTTTTATTTTTTTTATCACCTAGTTTAGCACTTTTTTATTTTATTTTAATTTTTATTATTTTAGTGCATTTATTTTATTTGATCATTTTAGTACATTTATTTTATTTTTCTTATCACTTAGTTTAGCACTTTTTTATTTAATTTTAGTTTATTTTAGTGCATTTACATTTTATTTTATCTCTTCACCTAGTTACTGCAGTTTATCATGAGGTTGGTTGCCTTTAGTGGCACTGCTTTTTCTTTCTTTTGTTCTTTTGTTCTGGTATTAAACTCAGCAAAGCCATGCTTCTGCTTAAAGTGACTTCAGATAGAAGCATAGGAAGATATTACTTAAACCCCCTTTGGGATTCTTTCCAGGGGAAGTTGTATTATGTGACTGTGGGCTACAGAAAGATGTGCTGTCTGGCACTGCAGCAGCAAGTGTCTAGACAGCTCTGGATAACACAGCAAACACGTAACGTCTTCCTTCTGTATACACACAGAAAGACACAGTAACTCCCTCACTGTCAGTCTGACACACACACACACACTGGAGTCAGCAAGTCAGACGGCTTTTGTGCCTGGTGCTTGGAGCCTCTGGGTGTTAGACATCATCGTTGATGGCCGTTGTGTTGACGATGCATGTGTGTTCTGATTCAGACATGGCCTTGCCCCCTGCACCTGCTGCCATGGCAACTGAGCCCAGCTGCTGTATGTGCAACTGCAAAAGCACCCTGCAGGCCATTCTGCTGGAGTTACGTACCATGAGGAAACTATTCCAAAGTCAGAGAGGTAAATCAAACAGAACTACCCTCGAATTCCTCTGAACACAATGGTTGTGCATTACAGAAATGCTGTTTTATTTATTTATTTATGCAAAATACAGTTTTATGTTCAGTAACAAATATTTATGGCCAGCACATTTTCTCAATTTACCCGTTTACTCAATTCACTTCATAAATTGAACACGTGTTTCATTATTATATCATAGCATCGTTTGGTTGCAGATGCCACTTGGTTGGACAATTTCAAAATCTAATGCAGTGAAATTGAAACATTGTAGGTATGACAAATTTGGATCACTGTATTTTTCTATTTGTTAACTTTTATTTTATTTTTTTTTATTTTTTTTATCACCTAGTTTAGCACTTTTTTATTTTATTTTAATTTTTATTATTTTAGTGCATTTATTTTATTTGATCATTTTAGTACATTTATTTTATTTTTCTTATCACTTAGTTTAGCACTTTTTTATTTAATTTTAGTTTATTTTAGTGCATTTACATTTTATTTTATCTCTTCACCTAGTTACTGCAGTTTATCATGAGGTTGGTTGCCTTTAGTGGCACTGCTTTTTCTTTCTTTTGTTCTTTTGTTCTGGTATTAAACTCAGCAAAGCCATGCTTCTGCTTAAAGTGACTTCAGATAGAAGCATAGGAAGATATTACTTAAACCCCCTTTGGGATTCTTTCCAGGGGAAGTTGTATTATGTGACTGTGGGCTACAGAAAGATGTGCTGTCTGGCACTGCAGCAGCAAGTGTCTAGACAGCTCTGGATAACACAGCAAACACGTAACGTCTTCCTTCTGTATACACACAGAAAGACACAGTAACTCCCTCACTGTCAGTCTGACACACACACACACTGGAGTCAGCAAGTCAGACGGCTTTTGTGCCTGGTGCTTGGAGCCTCTGGGTGTTAGACATCATCGTTGATGGCCGTTGTGTTGACGATGCATGTGTGTTCTGATTCAGACATGGCCTTGCCCCCTGCACCTGCTGCCATGGCAACTGAGCCCAGCTGCTGTATGTGCAACTGCAAAAGCACCCTGCAGGCCATTCTGCTGGAGTTACGTACCATGAGGAAACTATTCCAAAGTCAGAGAGGTAAATCAAACAGAACTACCCTCGAATTCCTCTGAACACAATTACAGCTGCATTGACACGTGTTCTGCTGCACTCTCAGGATGCCAGGACAAACAGGGCTCCCAGGACTCACTCTTGTCCCGAACCTCCATCTCCAAGAGGAGGAGCCGAAAGAGGAGGCCGGGTCACAGAGTTACAGTTCTGACCACACCCACTAAAAGAACCACACCTCTGTCGCCACCCGCTGAGACCGATGCTGTTAATGAGTGTAATCAGTCACGAGAGGACACACCCCCAACAGTGACATCATTTATTCCAGATCCCATTCCCAGTGCCAAGACTCCTTCCTCTCACTACAGCGTCACCAGAGGCCAAAGCACCACAGAGGTACACCACCGTACATGTGTGAATACATTTGGTAATGAATTGGTAAATGAAGAAAAACTGCTCAAAAAATGCTGAGTTAAAAACAACTCAGTGCTGGGTAAATTATGGACAAATCCCGGGATTGGGCTGTTTTGAGCCAGTGTTTAGGTTAAATGTTTAACCCAGCATTCTGGGTAGTTTTAATTAACTCAACTCTATATATA